GGTACAAGGTAGAATCGCCGTTAACACCTGTATCCCCCGAAGCCGCATCCAAGCAACTTGAAATGGCAGTTACGGAATTCAAAAGACGCTTCGGCGTCAGATATGTTCTTGTACTCTGCGATGAGGCGGCCACACTGTTACGGCAGTCGAACGTTGTAGACATGCAGAACTTCCGGCTGTTCAGGAGAGTCTTCACCGTGCAGGGCATCACGGCGTGCTTTGCGAGAACACAGTCCAAAGTGCAGAACTTCGCTCCTGCTCTACACCGTGATGATTCGTGGAGATTCTACCGTGTGAATGATATGGACAGTCCGTACATGCCTGCTCCGTTTATCTCTGTGAGCCCTCCGGACATCGGGATGAAGCTGACGTCGGAGGCTAAAGAGCTGCCTCCGTATCCTCTTGCCTTGAGCGACCTACATTCCCCCGCTTGGTTGTCGCGATTTGGCAGGCCGCTCTGGTTCGCTTTCGCCAGACACTCGCTCGTGCGCGAGCACCTGAGCCAGGTTCTGGTGGCGGTAGCGAAGAGCAAAATGAACTTCGATACTACCGGCAATTCCGTTGGTTCCTTGGCTGCCGTGATGTGTGTGGCGGCGTTGAAGCCCACCCCCAGCGTTGAGCTGGCAGAGCAATTGGTCCACAGTCACATGGCGACTGTTGTTCATGTGTCCAGGAACCGCGAGCTGCTCTACACGCATTACCCCTCGGAACCGTATCTCGCCGAAGCTTCGTGTCTTTACTTGCGAGATCATTGGACGCACGTCCTCCAGACGTTGCTGAATGCGGTTGGGCAGCACGTTCTAGACATGGGCCTCATCGGTGAAGCCATAGCACGTGTGTGCTTTATTGCTTTGGGTTTTGTTCGCTTGCATGAGCCCTTGTTGACCGTGGCAGCATTCCGGGACCGCATACGGGGTGTTGATGAGAGTCCGTTGCAGACGAAGCAGCCGTCTGGGGACGGAATGGCCGGAACCGCTGTGCTCAACTTCAACCACTTCATGAAGCTGGAAGGCCGACCCACTCCCGAAATGTTGTGCGCGGCTTTCACACGTCGGGCCGCCCTCTACCCGGCGCTGCTCAATCAAGAAGCGTACGACATCGTTATTCCAGCTTGTGAGAAGCCCGCTGGCGACTTGT